TGGCTCTTTGGCACAAGGATTACTTGGGCCTGATTAATTTTAAGAAAGCAGACAGGGGCACCTGGGTGGCTCAGTCAGATAAGCGGCTGACTTCCGCTCAGGTCATGATCCCAGGGCACGTGCGCTCTCTCTCTCTGACAAATAAATTTAAAAATAGAAGGAAAGAGAAAAAGAAAAAGAAAGAAAGAAAGAAAGAAAGAAAGAAAGAAAGAAAGAAAGAAAGAAAGAAGAAAGAAAGAAAGAGAAAGAAAGAAAGAAAGAAGGAAAGAAAGAAAGAAAGAAAGAAAGAAAGAAAGAAAGAAAGAAAGAAAGAAAGAAAAAGAAACAGCAGACAAAGGAGACTCTCTGAAAACCGAGTAGAAGTTGTCCTGTAGTGAGCAAAATTTACATTTATAAAGGAACTCTCCATCTGTAAGGGTATCTCCCTCTCTGCACTAGAAACGGAAGGATGACTAAATCTCAAGAAACTCTTATTAGTGGACAAGGCCTGACCTTAAACCTGCACAACAACCTTATCCTTATATGCTGTCCTTGGTCTGATAACCTCCCTTAACTGGCCTTCTCACCACCCAAAAACTTTGTCGTTAGCTGAAGATGGTATTTAAAGTGATTACTTGGGCCATTTCAGGGAGCTAATCAGTTTTCCTGAGTATCTCCCATGTACACAAGATGTATACATGTTATTAAACTTCGTTTTTCTCCTGTTCATCTTTTATTGCTAGAAGTGGTCTCAGCCAAGAACCTAGAAGAGTAAAAGAAAAATTATTTTTAGTCACCCAAATATGCAATGCAATACTATTCAGCAGTAGAAAGGAATGAAACATCAACCCCTACAAAGACATTGATGAATCTAACACGTATTTTGCTAAGTAAAAGAATCCAGTCTGAAGAGACTACACACTGTATGGCGCCATTTATAGGACATTCTGGAAAAGGCAAAACTACAGAGATGATAAACGGATCATGGGGTTAGGGTTTGAGGTATCCCATATGATATTTTAGTGATGAATACCTGCCACCATGCATTTGTCAAAACTCATAGATTTTTATAGCCTGAGGAGTACATCATGATTATTCAAACTGAATTATTTAGGACGTGGGATTGTCACAGGACGGAATGCAGAATGTGACAAATAACCTAACTGTATTAGAAATGTACGGAAAACCTCACTGTCAGTGGTGGGGCACCAGGTTCGGAAATGAATGGAATGTGTAGACTGAAGTCACATAGAGAGTGGACTCTTATTTTATAAAGTTCCTTCCCATGATGGCAGTAGCCAATGATGCTGAAGCACTTACGTCTGTAAGATGAAACGGAGCAGTGAATTAAGTAAATGATAAATGGTAGGAGCCCAGTTCCTCACTGTTAGAGTGGTCAGTTACGGATGAGCAAAGGGAGATTACAGTATCTATGTGACAATGGATCAGGTTAGAGACACCCGTATAAACTCTGTAGCTTAATATGCATACAGACAGTTCCACATAATAACTATCAATGTGAAGGTCAAATACCAGTTATGTTAGCAATAAAATGAGTTTATTTGGGAATAGCGGAAGAATTACAATCTGGGACAAGTGAGCTATGGCAAACCACAGGAACACTTGAAGAGAAAAAGTGAATCTCCGCTTCTATTAGGTTTTAGGAGGACACTGGGGAGGGCTGTTCTAAAGTACATTGGGGATGCCAACAGAAGCCATCTCCTAGCTTTGTCCTCACTGCCCCAAATTGTCCCAAAGCTGCAGGGGTATCCTCAAGCCCACTCATACCCTCATCGAGGTGTGCGCCTGACTCTGAGGCCAGGATATGCATGCTCTCCCTCAGGTCAGAGAGCCAGGGTAGAGAGTACCCTACTGTCCACTAGGCTGCAGCACAGGACACACCCCACTCACAGTTTAGCCCTTCAGGGCATGTCCAGTGAATCCCTGAAATTCAGCGTTCTGATTATTCAGTGCCATAATTTGTAAATTCCAATTGAAATAGAGCCCATCAAAGAAGTAAAATATAAAAAAGTTCCAGTGCTATGGTCTGAGTTTGTTTCCCCCCAAACGCACGTTGGAATCCTAATGCCGGATGTGATGGTGTTAGACCAGGATGCCTTTGGGAGGTGATTAGCTTGTGAATGGGATTACTCCCCCTATAAAAGACCCTAAGCCATTCCCTACATGTGAAAATATGAGGAGCGTGCCACCTCAAAGAGGGCCCTCACCCGATCATGTCAGCACCCTGATCTCAGACTTCCAGCCTCAGCAACTATGAGAAATGAATTTCTGTTTATAAGCCACCCAAAATGCAATAGTTTGGCCTTAGCAGTCCAGATGGGCTAAAGCAATCAGCAACCAGTCTGATCCCGAACACTACCCCTAACTTTGTCCCTAAACCCTGGGCCCTTACTTCTGATCTCTAGCCCTCACCCTGGCCCTAGATCCTGACCCTGAGCTGAGGCCCCAATCCTTTTTTTTTTTTTTTTAAGGTTTTATTTATTTACTTGACCGAGAGAGAGCACAAGTAGGCAGAGCGGCAGGCAGAGGGAGAGGGAGAAGCAGGCTCTCCGCTGAGCAGGGAGCCCGACGCCAGGCTCAATCTCAGGACCCTGGGATCATGACCTGAGCCAAAGGCAGCCACTTAACCAACTGAGCCACTCAGGCACCCCTAGGCCCCAATCCTAAAGCATGGCCCTGGCACCTGGTCCCTGACCCCCCCAAACCCAACCCTAAACGTAAATTCTCACCATCACCCTAACCCTCATCCCTTGCTGCCATGAAAATATGTTACCGTTACCCAATTATCTTTTGTTTAACCTTTTTGCGAAATAGGAAAATTGTGCCCAAAAACTAACCATAAACACCCTTCAGACACGTATTCTCTCACGGAGTCCGAGCTACCACTTTTCTGTTTTGCCATTCAAACTAAGTGTGTTTAGTTAAAAATAATGTCGACTGGGTAACACAGTCAGTTGACCGTCCGACTCTTGGTTTTGGCCCGGGTCGTGATCTCATGGTTGTGGGATCAAGCCCCGCATCGGGCTCTGTGCTCGGCAGAGCCTGAGGGATTCTCTCTCTCCCCGTCTGCCCTTCCCCCCCCACTTAAGCACGTGCTTGTGCTCTCTCTCAAATACATAAATCTTCAAAAAAAATAACAATGTCTTCCCTAAGTGTACTAGCATGGTACAGAATGAGGCAATAACACAAAGAGTAGGAGAAAACACATGCTTGTAATAAAGAAAAAGTTTATTTTTAAAGATTTTTGGAAAATATGTAGTCAAGAATTTCAATCCCACACAGGAAACACAAGCCATGCCAAGAAGGCCCAAGTGCCATAACTATGTTTATTGATATCCTTTGTATTTATCCAATGTATATCCACTCACTAAAATTTTTGTTTGAAATTTCTGGCATTAATTCCCTGAAAGGTCCAGACTCGCAAAACCATTGTTACATACACAGTTGATTTTTACATTACATACTTGATATTTATACATTTGATATTTCCTTTGCACATGTCTATGGCTTTACTACTTTCAAGACAAAAATCGCATACAGAAATACATACTCAAAACATAAAATTTGTCAACAATTGTCTAGAATGTGGTTTACAATATAGAGGTTACAGGCGACACATAATCCATCTGTCAGGAAACAGAGAGTAGTAGTGCATCATACTGGACTCTGGTGAGGGGCACTTCAGCCCAGGAAAACCCATTTACAATTCTTCTCGATGTGTATAAGATAAACACCAAACTATTTCACATATATTATATCTATATATACTTTTAACCAAATTCTGGTTTAAACATCACAAACTGACAACATGTAAATACAAACACAAATGTTAGGAAAGGTTTGACATATATAGGGAAAAACATGTCTTATGCATTATGAAGAGTTTTTATAGTCTAGCATAAAGGCAAATGTGGTTTTAAAAAAAATAAAATCCACATACAATTAAAAAACTTAGTCAAGCCACCTAGTGTAACAGACTTCACAAATATCATGTGTTTAACATTATGCTCCAAATGTCCACGTATTGCAGAGATTGCTACATATCAATTAGAATGATGTCAGCAAAGATGTGCACACTACGAAGTGATCGCAAGTAAACATAAACCATGCGCTTCTGAGACAAGGATGCTTGACCTTCAGTTAAAAGCAGGGTAAAAACGACTATGAAGTAACTGTCTTTACAAAGGATTACATTTTCAAATCTAGGGCAACAGACATGTTTTCCCAGGTATGCATGCACACAGTATCCTGTGAAAAAAAAATGATTCAGTTACTTAAAAAGGAAGAAAAGGTTAAAAAAGAAAGAAAGAAAGAAAGAAATTAAATAAACTACCAGAACTCGGTTCAGCTGGGGAAACCACAAAGACACTCAAGCTCAGCAACACCCAAGAGGCTGAGGGATAACATTAGTCGTAAACTCTGGATGACTGATCCAACATCAGCACTCTGAGTTCGAGTTTCTTGCTGACATTTTATACCATACTTTTCTTTTGGAACAAAAAGTAAGTTTGAAAAGAACCAACTGTAACTTGAAAACATTCTGCCATCTGACAGGATGGCCTTTTCTTCTAGACCCAGAACTAGGTAAAGACAGAAAGCGCTCAACCCAAAGGGCCTGGAGAAGGTAGATTTCACAAGTCACTGGTGGTTACACCATTATTCTAATGCAATGGAGCTACTAAAATACATGTATTTGTTATTAAGAAAAATTAGAAAACTAACATGTCTTCTTCTCCAGAATTATAAAAGATAAAACCTATTAATCAGTACTCTAATGCGATTACAGAAAAATAGCCAACTGAAGTTTAAAAAAAAAGCACAGGCTGTCTGTAACATTGTCCCCACTGTATTTCCTGCAGTTTTAATACTTTGCACCTGTTTTGAGGACTGAGCACATCCACGCCTTAGACACCCATTAGCATATTCAAGGTTGGGTCACGAGTCATCCCTACCCTTAGGGTAAAAGTAATGTAGCTTAGTACACACAACACTTGTTTCATTCTTGAGTATTTTGTAAGGGATTACCCGACATTGGCTCTTCCAAAGATAAGAAAAAAGGTGTCAGGAAAATATTCCTTGGATTATTTTGGAATTCCACAGAGACATCTGGCAGTTTGATACTTTTAACCCTCCTTCCCCATCACAATTTCCCTCTTTTGAAATCACAATCAACAACTCACATAAGATTTAATCACATTTAAAATAAGGGAGAGCTTTTCAATAATGTTCCCCCCTCCAGAGAACTAAAAGGGTTAGTGGAGCTCAGTGCCAGTAATTAAGAGGTTGATACCATAAAGTTCTAACTCAGACACAGGTGTGTCACACCCAGGAAAGATGTTACACACTTGCAAACTTGTGCTTGCTTTCACATTTTATAAGCAACACAGGTTAATTTCAATGTCACTGCTTCGTGGGTAATGCACACAGGAGTGTCTTGGTTAATTTCAATGTCACTGCTTGGTGGGTAATGCACACAGGTGTGTCTTGGTTAATTTCAATGTCACTGCTTCGTGGGTAATGCACACAGGTGTGTCTTGGGTGGTCTCTGCGTGCAGGTGTCAAGAGCTTCACCAGAGCAAAAAGCAAACACCCTTGTCTCCAGGACAGTCTCTCCCTTTTGAGAAAACATTCTCCTATGCACTTTGTCAGATTATGTTTACTGAAATAATACCAATGAATGGAATTCTAGAGGAAAACCAAGAACAAACTGAACACAAAAAGGTGGAGAGGACCGCACTCTCCTTCCCCATAGCATGTGCCCGGGCAACCCCGTGAGGGCGTGGGGTGCAGCCTTGGGCTCCGCCTCGGTTCAGCCCCCACAGACTTACTTCTCTCTGTAATAGAGCAGGTAGTATTTCAGGGGATCTGGCAGAGGGAGGCTCAGGACCTTCTCACGAAGGAAGTTCACTGGTCGGGCTGGCTTCGCGTCCGGCGGCGGGGCTCTGTCCTCCTCCCGCTGCTCCTCTTCCAAGTCCTCACAGCTGTTGTCGTCGGATGGGCTGGAGATCCGACTGGCAAATACCTCTTTGTCCAAAAAGACGATCGTTTCCATGCGACGGCGGCGCACTCTCCTTCGCTTGGCCCTGGGAGTGTTCTTCAGTCCATTTCCGCCGCTGCTCACTGTTTCCTGACGGATGACCTTTTTAATGGTGCCCCGGATGGCGATTCGAGCCAGATCCTGGAGGCTCCGCACGGCCAGGGGCGCTGTGGAGCAAAGGAGATGCGTCAACCTCATCAGCAAGGGATCCAGACAGCACAGGGCCCTAACTCTAGAAACCCATCCCCTCACGGTCATTCGCGGTCACGGTCATTCGCGAGCGTTATTTACAGCACAAGCACAGAGGAGCACTCCCAGCAAACAGCTGGGATGACAGCTCTGACACGCACGTCTGTGGTCCTTCTCAGTGGTATTTTCAAACACACGAACCCGAACTCATATAAGGAAAGGAAGCAAGGTGGTTTGTCTCATCAGTCAGAAGCAGAAGAAAACCCTGGGTTCATGACTCTGTTTACTGTATTCATTCCTGGGTTCTAGCTCATGCAGTGAATGTAATGCTCCAGAATTCTTTTATCTATCTTCACATTTTCACAGTACTTTACAAATTGAGTATTTGTTCCTTTTTCATTAGAGAAAAGCAAATCCAAAACATTTTTAGTAAGTACAAAAACTCCAAAGCATACCAAGGAAAAATAAAATCTGGAGATTCAAGTCCAGCTCAGTGTAAGGCAGGCGGGGTACACACGTGGCAACAGCAGAGTTCTTCTTAAAGGGGGAGGAATTAGGGGAGGAATTAGGGGGTATACAGTATACTGAAAACCACCATCACTCTTCTCCCTCCAGGACCTAACTTTTTTTATTTATTTGACAGAGAGAGCACAAGCAGGGGGAGCAGGAGAGGAAGATGTGGGGCTCCAGTACCTAACTTCTTCCAAAAAAGACGACAACCTACAATATAGGGAGGGTTCTTATGTTGTCTGTAACATTTACCACCCAAATCAAAGTGGCCTGCACAGAATCCCGTGCAATGCTCCCTGTTCCACGGGAGCCCAGGGAAGCCCGCCGGGCCCCAGGCTCTCGGCACCTTCTCCCGTGTCCACACCAGGCCTCCTCTCCTGCTCAACTGTCTCCTCCCTGTTGTCCAGGACAAGCTCCAGCACATGCCCCACGTGTCTCACTACACAACACCGTAATCATGACTTCCTGCCCAATACACCCACCTTTCCTTGCCCTGCTCCTCAGTCTGCTGAACGGACTCCTTCTCCGGCTCTCCCTGAGGTCCCACTTGAAGGGAACCAACTCGGCCCAAGTCTCTGCTGCCGGTCCCTCCCCCACCGCGGCTGTAGTGCTCCCTTGGGTGCTGATTTCTACCATCTCCCCCACTCCACGTCCCTATCAACCCTTGGTTTGACATCAAGTAACAAAGACTGGGCGGTGGCCCGCAGGGCTCTGCTCCATTCCTGACTGGGGTCCCGAGCCTCCCCAGACCCACATCTACAACAGGTGCCGGACACCTCAGGGCACACATCCTTTCTCAGAAACACCGTATGTGCCTGCCCCCGAATCCCTTCAGCTGCAGAGGCCGTCTCCATGGACACAACTTTGCTAGTTAGAAAACTCTGGCCCAGGAAGACAAAGTTACAAATAACTAGCTGTTCACTGCTGGAACCCAAACATCACGTTATTTATTATCCAGCATTGGCTCTGAAGCTCCGGCCTCAAAACCCGCATCTCAGGGTGCCCTCCACGCTGTCACAACTCTTACCCAGACCCAGTCAGGCCCTCACACCAAGAGACTCGTGTCCAACCAAACCCCCATCGAAGCCGCATAGATGCACTGACCACAGCCTCACCTTCCGACGCTCGGGCAGTGTTCTGGAAGGCCGCGCCCTGGCTGACTGCGAGCAATGCTAGCTTCTCCTGGGCAGATTTCCAGGGAGCATGCAGGTGACCCTGGCCAGCAGGGTCGTCGAGAAGACAGAAGCACCACATCTTTTCAATCACACGTCTGGTGGCTCCCACAGCCTCCATGACAAGTCCGACCTACGTAGTGGACTAGTTTCTCCTATACACCCGCACTCGGACCACGCTGAGGAGCATGCATGTACAAAGTCCCCATCAGCCTCTGCTCATGCCTCTTCTCCCTTTCTTCTCTCTTCAAAGAATGTACTTTCACCCAAAACATCCCATCCTCTGTCAAACCCTCCCTGGCCCCTCTCAGCCCCTTTCTGTATTGTACTGTTGCTCTTACCACATTTCAAGGACCACATCTACCGCATGCGACCTCCACTTAGCAGAGACCAAGGCAGAGCATGACTATCTGATAAATGATTCCTCACAAATTAAAAAAAAAAAATTCTGGAAGGAATTTGCCAACATGTATTATCTTTGGGTGGTGAGATTATGGTTATTTTTTTCCCTTTTTTTTTTTTTTTTGGTGCATTTTCCAAATTTTCTAAATGACCAGAATGCAGAATCCATGCTCTTATTGGTCTTATTTTAAATAAAATCATTTGCTATTCTCATTGCCATATAAATTTGTTTAAATTATACAACAGTATCTGGATGAATGCTGGCCCTGATGTCAGCTCTTTGTGGTTCTACACGCCTAGCCAAGTAAGGCTCCACGGTAAGCCTCCCACCATACACCAGCGGACCGGCTGAAGCATGAGCCCACGAGGCGGCCCCAAGGAGGAAAGGGTCCCGTGACTCCGCAAGAGCCCTATGGCCCAGTGGTGCTGGCAACACAGTCTCTCTGTGAGACCTCTCCACCAAGCAGCATTAACTCCCTCCCATGGGAGTCTTCTGCTTTCAATGGCATGACCAGCAATAATTCCTGTAGATCTAAAAGAAGGCAAAAGTAACCTAAAATAGGCTGAAAACAGATGATTTTTCAATTTCTAAAAATCACTTGTAACATTTTAAGGTTTCAATGGGTAGAAAAACGCTCTTTAATATTAAAAGATTCCTTACAATTTGTCTTTCTCTTCAAATCCTACTGAGATTATTTAAAAGATCTAAAAGATAAATAAGGGTCTTTGTACTTACGTAACTGGACAAGTCTTGATTTTCCAGACTCTGAATGACAGGGCTGGATCAAAGGAGCAAAAGAAACTGCCAGAATCTTTTTGGTTTCCCAAGCAGAAGGACCAGTTCGTGTTATCTTAGTCAACTGCCCCAAAGAGAAAACAAGAATATTCACAAGATTTGGCTACTGTTAGTTGATATTTAATCACTCCTACATATAAACTAAAAAAAAACACAGATATGCTAATAATGAAATAACCTGACAACAGAGGCCCCTAAAGTGATATGACATGAAGTACCCGTAATGAATTATTATACTTGCAAGGATATTTTGCCTGAATATATTCAAAGCCTCTAGACCTAATATGTATTTTTAGAGAAAAGAAGTCAAAGGATACCAAACCAAGAAGAGACAATCAGATGAGACAACTTCCCTGGGCTCTCCGCAAGAGTCAGCGCTGAGGGCAATAGTGGGGCGGGGTGGGGGCGGACGGACATTCTAAAGTCAAAGTCATTAAAGACATTCACGACCACCTGCAATGCTCCAGTCTAGACGGGATCCCAGGCTGTTTTTTCTGGAGGACAGAAACCATAAAAAGACCTTCTTGCAACAACATGACCACACACCAAACAGCAGCTACTATTGCAGTTTCACGGTCCCGTCACCTCTGTCAGAGCTTCTCCTCGCTACAGCATTGAGTTTCTGTGTGACATCATCGCCATGACACACAGACTTGCAGTGAAGGTCATGAAAACATTCCTTATGAATCACAGTATTAAGGGCATCAGAAGAACCTAATTAGACAACATGGCCCTCCTGTGTATTCTGTGATGGTGCCAGTTTCTGAAAGGCCCAAGCAGGTCACAGTGCTATTTTCTGCTCAGCTATGACATGCGAAGATTATATACTCTCTAGTCTAAAAATACGTAAGCCAGCAAATCCTCTAAAAACTAAGATTCTATATCACGAACCTTAGAACTGAAAGCATTAAGTAGCCACGTACTAGGTAAACATCAACAAGTCATTCATACTCTTGTGTACCAGCAAAAACTTCTTTTTAAAAACATTTTTTTTAAGGAGAGGTTCTAGTTACAATGAACATCAAATATCTAAATACAATCGATAGATAACGTGTGAACTGTTCAAGAAAACTGTAAATCCATATTCCATGTTCCAGACAAGGAGATGGATACTGAAAATATGTCTATGATCCTCAAATTAATACACACATAACACAATTCCAATAAAAGGTCTGACATATTTTTCTGATACAACAAAGATTTCTAAAATAATTTAAGTCAAGGGGTGCCTGGATGGCTCAGTTGGTTAAGCGGCCAACTCTTGATTTCAGATAGAGAGCCTTGATCAGGTGCATTCAGTAGCGAGTCTGCTCCAGGATTCTCCCTCTCCCTCTGCCCCACCCCACC